TTTTTTTGACGACGTATTTGACGACGTCAGTAAATCAAATTTATTTGGTGCCTACCTTTTATCGTATCATACGCTGTGATGAAACGATGAAACAGATGAATGATAAACATACGTGGTACGTTGGTCGTTCGACTCGTTACATAATACCTAAGGTAACGTGTACGCTGTGATGAAACGATGAAACAGATGAATGATAAACATACGTGGTACGTTGGTCGTTCGACTCGTTACATAATACCTAAGGTAACGTGTACGCTGTGATGAAACGATGAAACAGATGAATGATAAACATACGTGGTACGTTGGTCGTTCGACTCGTTACATAATACCTAAGGTAACGTGTACGCTGTGATGAAACGATGAAACAGATGAATGATAAACATACGTGGTACGTTGGTCGTTCGACTCGTTACATAATACCTAAGGTAACGTGTACGCTGTGATGAAACGATGAAACAGATGAATGATAAACATACGTGGTACGTTGGTCGTTCGACTCGTTACATAATACCTAAGGTAAAGTGGCATTTTTTTGTGATTACACATGACACATCCTCACGTTGTAAAAGGAGAGTTGCAAGCTCCAACTTAAGGTAAGCTACAGCTATACACATGTATCATCTTTTATGTTATGTTTCATAATTATTTGCAATTGCAAACTATCAAAAATGGAATGTGATACGGAAAAAATAAAACTGGCATCTCGCGAATATTTTATGGCTTCGCAGCGCAAAGTCGAAAATCCGCCGCGCAAAATTGAAAATCCGCCGCGCAAAATTTCTAAAAAAAATTGATCTAGCTTGCGCAGTTTGCACACTTTCCAGTCTGGAAGGAAACCCAACGAGAAGAAGACAGGAAGCGAGCCGATGCAGAAAAGATCGTGGCCTTTTTATGTAAACATTTCTACAAAGTGGAAGACACGTTCCATAGGTTGAAAAAAAGTCTTGACATATTGCGTAACAGCACGATAGTTAAGTTGACAGAATTTGATGAGTTGACAGAATTTGATGAGTTGACAGAATTTGATGTTTTGATATACATGTATCGCAAAGAAAATTGGAGAAAATTTCATCGTAAACCTATTGGAGAGGCTCCAGAATCAAACTCTAGGGATGACCTACTTTCAGATGTTGAAGAAATAATAAAGTTTATCTTAGACTTGCGAATGAACTTATTTTATATCATGAAAGATCAAGTATGCCCACGTGATATCAAGAAGGAATTTTCATGCAAAATCAATGAAATGGGTGAATCCGTGTACCATTTTGTGCCAGAACATCAACAAGATGTTATTGAAAGAGTGCTAAAATATTTTGACTTTGCTCAGACTTTCCCAGAGTATGAACACCCAAAGGAACAGCATGAAAGCCTTGATGAAAACCCTGGTCTTCAAAACCAGTCACAATCTCTTTTGTCAAGACGCAGTAGAAAACAGCAGACAAGTGAAGATGAAACAAAGAGAGCAGCCAATGACATAGCTATTGACGTGCTATCTACCACAAGTGCATCAAGCTATTCACCCACTGCAAATCAACCACCAAAGATTTGGCGTGGCAATGCTGCAATAGAAAATGCAATCCCGTACCTTAAATATTTCGCATACCCAAAGTATGGAGAGAAGATGACATGGAGAGAAGATGACATGATGATGAAATTTGCTGAAATTAATGATGACATTTTGAATCTCATGAAAGAAATTGAAAAGGGAGTGATAAAAGAAAATGATGAGCAGTTATTAGATGAAATTAAGAAGCTTTGGGAAGTTAATGGATATGAAGCACCAGGTGGAGGATTGTTGCATTCCATGAGAATGGTAATTTATAAGATTGATCAAAATCAAAATCATGATTTTTTTAATAGATGTAAAGGTTCATTGGACGATTTCTGCAAATTCATTAGAGTTGGTAAGAATACTTCTGCAAATGTGGAGGAGTGTAAGAAAATGTTAAGCAGTGTGATTAGAGAGGCTAAGAATATCAAAAAGCAGTTCTCATTCCTGCTTGAAGAAAGGGATAAGGTAGACAGTTTGAAAAAAATAATGGGGCAAATACAAGTTTTGGATAAAATGGAGCATATAGTTAAAGAAATGATAGAGTATCAGATGGAATTCACAGTTTTTGGTGCAACTGAGGCCCTAGGTGGTTCCGTAGTAAAGGCCTTACGTCGTTGAGGGAAATTCAAGGTTCGAGGAGTCACTCCATCATTAGAAAACGAAAATTCTAAATCACTAGCTTTGCTGCAAGGTGTAGATAAGGTGCAGGCGAGTTTAGACGATACAGACTCCCTTCATAAAGCAATATCTGGTTCTTACGGAGTGTTTCTCGTCACCAACTTTTGGGAATACATGGACAGCGCAAAAGAAATACGACAGGGTAAAAGTGCTGTAGATGTTTGTTTGCATGAAGGTGTCAAACATTTGATCTACAGCGGTTTGGAAAGCGCAGAGAAAAAGTATGGATTTGTAGTGGGTAAGCAATACTGCATACTGATTTTCTTTTCATCAAACTAATACGAATAGAAGCAATTTAGGCTCTTGTTATTGTCAAGAAATATGTATTAGAGCGTGCGTGAGTACTCAAGCTGTTCCACTGTCAAATTATGCATGATATTGATGATAATACCTCAGCCTCCACAAATATTTTTTCCACAACACTAACTTTTCTTCCATTATTTAATGACCAGAAAATGGATTACTTCTCCACATTGAATTACAAATATTGTCGATCAGGCAATATTCGTTTTCGAGCGTCTTTAAATTCAACATAATTAATTGCTTTGCAAATGTGACAATAACAAAATGGAAGTCGGATAAAAGAGGTGTCGAATGGCAAAGAAAATTGTATACTCCCCCCCCCTTCCTTCCCAGCGTCAGCGCCAGCTGGCAAGAGGTGATAGCAATGAACTGAGTAAAACTTTGTTTTCAGACAAATAGTTCCATACTTAGACATGAAACAAATGTTGAATCTTTAATTTGTTCACTAAAATATAAGGGTTCCTCTGACGTGACAGCACGTTAATAAAAGTTTTTCATGTTTCTAAATGTATATCGTCCAGGTTGGTATAGTCCTGAGAAGGACTGTTTTTGTTGTTGTTGACTGACGTTTCGACAGTCTTAGCGGTAGTCAGAGTCAGAGTCATTTTGAGGACTATACCAACCTGGACGATCTACATTTACAATCATGTAACGATACTCCAGGGTTCAAACCATTTACTTTATTACAAAAATTTTTCACTTGACACACATTGACTCTCCACAGAGCATTTTGATTCAAAAGGAAAGGTTGAAGACTACTTCATAAAAAGGCTGGATCGATGATTTGGAACAGCATCCGCTTATCCGCTTACTTAAACAATTTTCTCACAAACTGGAAGCCAAAGAAACAGGAAGATGGTACATATGAGCTGAGCATACCCATGGAAGGCAAGCCAATGTATGGAATAGACGTAAACGATTGTGGAGAATGTGTCGCAAGTAAGAATATACCAAATGCATGCTAGTCTTTAGTCAAATGAAGTTCTTGAACTTTAGTTACCAACTCATCAGGCGCCCTGTGTCAATAAACTCGTGTTTTTGTTTAATCAAGGCGTATTCAACCACTCAGAAACCTACGGCAAGAAAATTATTGGAATTGCTACGGACTACCTCACCGTCCAACAATATTGTGATGCCTATAGCAAATTATTCGCACCTCGTGTTTTTAAGGTAACTTAACCTTATTTATAGATGATTTTATGGGTATCGACACTTGTTAGTCGAGAATCTTGAGACAAAGCAGGAGAAGCTAGGATAAGATTGTTCAGACATATTACGAAAATGGATAAATAAATATATAGACAAAAATGTACTGAATTTTGAGCTGCGTTAGTAAGACGTCTAAATGAAAACCTACGACAAATTATCGGAAGAATGCAATGAAAAAAGGAAATGGAATGGGAGGGGGAGGTAACAAAATACACTAAATAGAAAGAGACGGGTGCAAATGATTTGCTGTGGCGAAGGCTGAAAGAAAAATCGGAAAGAGAAGATAGAGGTTGGATTGAAAGAGATCATTAATTATTTCTCCATAATCTTCAATTTCGATTTCAACAGTTTCAATATTGATGCTTTATCTTTAGAGGTCGAAATGTCCCTCAACTTAATCTTTTTTTATCTCAGGATGCAAAAGCAAAGACCGACAAAGATCAGGACTATGGATTTCCTGGTGCAGAGGAAATGGCAGCCATGTTTAAGCTGTATCAGAAAGGAATCGAGCGTGATATAGAACACACGAAAACTTTGAATCCCAAGGCAAAAACGTGGGAGAAATTTGTAGTTGAACATAAAGCAAACCTGGAAACATTATTATAAGAATTTTACTGAAAATTAGAATTTGAAAGTGTACGGCTAATTTCATTTTGAATAGATTTTTTTAATGCATTTTGTGTGAAACGTTTAAGTAGAGCAGTTTGAGCATAGACCATTTCATTAGAAGATTATAGACATAGTCATTACTCATCGTAACTCAGGGGGAACTCGTACTGCGAAACAATAGCAAAGTTTAATGTTTTTATTAAAACAACGACACATTACCAACTAGATAATCACCGCTTGAAAATAATCATTTAAAATGTTTTGTTCATGCAATAATGACGATGACTAGTTTGCTAAACATTTTCAGCGTCATTGTTTCAATTCGTGCAAGGTTTCTTGATGTCAGCCTGCATCTCTTGTGCAAAGTTTTGTTCGTGTTTGAGCAAGTAAGGTTTAGGTTGCTCTATTCATGTTTCGTAATACAGTGACGTAATTCCTGTGGTTTATGTTTAGGGTAGGGCTCTACACAAGCATTGGACACGATGGTATCGATGTTGACCAATATGTAGTGTTTATCACTTCAGTGACTATAAAGATCAGCGGAGGCACAGAATAGATACATACAGAAGGCCACTCTCGTCGGAACCTTTGAAGATTTTGTTGTCAACTTTTAGCCCGCAATCAGGCATCGCCGCCATGTTGGCAGCAAGATAACTCCAGCAAGCTCGTCATAGAAAATATAGTAATGAGAAACAGTTCGGCGCGTCCTCGATAATTATATGGCTATTCCATTTTTGTTTTGTGTATGCCATCACAAGTAATGTCAAAGAAGGTAATTTTGACAACTTAGGTCGAATCGCATCGTTAGAATACACGTTTTAGAGTCAAAATTTGTTATTGTGGTCTGATGCTTTTGCCAACTTGCCAACATTCAATCATGGTTATGCTTGTATTGCGAGTTAGAATGAAAAGGATTATCAACTTTGTCTATGGAATTTTCCTTGTAGTAAGTTTGTAGAATGTTACAAATGCTTGACTTTAATGTACTTCCGCGATCTTTTATTAGAAGAGGAAAACTCGCGATTTGCAAATTTGATGCCGTAATGAATTCGCATTCTTAAAAAAAGTTTGACCAAATATTGCAGTGTAAATTGTGAACATGTACGGAATGGCACTGGTATCATGTTAAGACTCTTCAAGATGCTCTTTCCAACATTCAGATTTTTGGTTGTGACTGAGAAGCAATCCACGAAGGTGTCTTCAAGTTGCATAATGTAATTTAAATAGCACGATGAATGAGCAGTCAGCCCACCAAAGTTGAGTTCTTTATATGCCTTGAAATAGCAAAGCAAATTACCATTATTGTTGATGTTATTTGAAGTCAAAACGTTCTTACATTGGAGACAGCTGTGGATTTTGAAAGCTTTGCTTAGCAAATATCCTGAAACATAGGCAACAGCATTTTAGAGCAATAAATTGTTGCCAATATTTTGTTCTCGGTAGTCATTTTCACCAATCAACAGTGAGTTACTTGGAGCTTTTGCATGGGTAAGTGGCATACTAAATGGTTTGGGCTTTTTTTTTGAAAATTGTGTTAGCAGAGTGTCCATATCTTTAGAACAGTTTCCTTTGGAAGAGGTCAAAAGTGAACTAAAAAAAACCTTTCGAAAAGCTCTGATAAATTGTATTGGCGTAGGATTGTCAGAATTACCTCCTTGCTGGCGTATTGTTCCAAAAAAAATTCTCTAGAGCATCTGTGTTTAATCTTCTGGTAAGCAAGAATGCAAAATTATGTGAGGCATGAAGATAGGTCCAGAGACAGATAATGGCCTTTATAGATATAAGCCATCCCTTCAGTGATTTGATTCTGCCTGTGATGTTTTTACCATCTTTTACCACTTTGATTCCCTGATAAAGGACATTGCTTTGAGAAAAGCAATGTGATTATTGCTGTTGCTTATTGCACTTCTTTGTTCTTTTGCTGATTTCAGTGTGGAACTATTGACGCAATCGAAAAGCGAATCAAATTTGAAAAGCAACTCAGCTGTACTCAAGGCTGGTGGTGGTTGTGCTCCAATTGATGAATATGTGCAAATCGATGTAGCAGCGGTGTGGCTGAATATTTGTGCAGCATATTTAACTTGAAAATTAATCTGAAAATTAATGCAGCGACAGCGATGTAACGAACATAACAATATATATATATATTAATAGAAGCAAGAGGACAATTTTATTTCCTTACAACGGAATCAATACTTTAAATTATCTAAAACATGACAAATATAAGGAACATATAGTTAAGAGCATCTGGAAGTTAGCTACAATCATACAATATAAGAATTTTCCCAACACAATATGGCATTGGCATTAAATACAATTGCACAAGTTTGCAATTTCTCAATGAACATTTATCGAGTGTTCGGGATATGACTAAATTTGTCTGAATTCTAAAGCACCAAATCCAATGTCATACGAAATATCTTTTTAGTGTAGCCTGTCCGTTGATAAATTTCACATTGTTCCTTCTTGTTTCTGATTTAAAGACGTTCGTTGAGCGCTTCTCCGCTTCCGTTCTTTACAAATAAATAAATACGAATAACCTTGACCACACGGCCACGGCACAGCATTTCTCATACAGGTCTCGATAGAATTGTACACATTGGTTGTACATGAAAAAGCATAAAAATATGTTGATTGTATGTTCCCATTTCAGCACAGCTTTGATTTGGTCGTCTCAGGATAAATATTTCAACTTTTCAAGTAATAACGCCAAGATTTTTGAGTTGTACACTGCTACCCTTATTTAGTGTAGCAAGTTTATCTTGCTGCCAACATGGCGGAAGTGGCGCATGCGCATTAAAATTTAGGACCGTATTTTTCGCGAAGTGGCCCTTCTGTATGTATCTATTCTGTGGCGGAGGTATAATCTTTTAACAATGGCGGTCAATGATCTTTCTTTAGTTAAGGATTGGATATACATACTATGCATTCCAATTCAAACTATTTTGGCCATAATTACTTTGGTGTTTGTTCGGTTTTGGTGGGAAAAAAGTAAAATACGCAAACAAGAAAGGGAAAAGGAAATGCTGCGAGAAGAAGACAGGCAGCGAGCTGATGCAGAAAAGATCGCGGAAAATTTGGGTGACCGTTTCTTCGATGTGGAAAGCAAGTTCCATAAGTTGAAAAAAAGTCTTGACATATTGCGTATGCGTGAAAGGACGATAGTTAATGATTTGAAAGAATTTCATGTTTTGGTATACATGTGTCGCAAAGAAAATTGGGGAAAATTTCATCATGAATCTATTGGAGAGGCTACAGAATCAGACCCCAGGGATGACCTACTTTCAGATGTTAAAGAAATAATAAAGTTCATCTTAGACCTGCGAATTAAATTATATTCTACTTTGAAAAATCAAGCATGCCCAGATGATATCAAGAGTGAATTTTCAAACAAAATCAATGAAATGGGGGACTACGTGTACAATTTTGTGCCAAAACATCAACAAGATATTATTGAAAAAGTGAAAAACTATTTCGACCCAGCTCAGACTGAAATAGGTATTGAAATGCAATCTACCACAGGTGAATCAAGCCATTCACCCACTGCAAATCAACCACCAAAGATTTGTCCTGACAATGCTGCAATAGAAAATGCAATCCCGTACCTTAAATATTTCAAATACCCAAAATATGGACAAGAGATGACACTGGAATTTACTAACAGTCATTCCGACATTTTGAATCCCACTCGTCTAATTGAAGAGGGGTTGATAAAAGAAAATGATGAGGTGTTACGTGAAATTAATAAGCTTTGGAAAGTTATCGGAGATGAACCACCAGGTGGAGGATTGTTGCATTCCATAAGAATGATAAATTATAAGCTTTGTACCGACAAGAATATTCTAAATCATCAGGATTTTCTTGAAAAATATGAACGTCCAGTTGCCAATTTCCGCATGTTCATTGAAGATATAATTGATAATGATATGCCAACCTCTGAAAATGCGAAGCTTTGTAAGAATATGTTAAGGGATGTGGGTAGTATTAGCATTGAGCTTCTCAAAAGGCAGTACTTATCCCTACGTAACAAAAGTAAAACGGTAGACGTGTTAGAAAATATAACGTTGGAACTTCAAAAACTAATATTTGAAATATCAGAAGGTCATAGTTAAACAAATGATAGACCAGCAGTAACACGATTATATAATTAATTAGTTGTAACTTTGCATGAAAAAAATGAGAATTACCTGCAACATGGACGTAGGAAGATTGATAATTTTTTTTTGGGGGGGGGAGGAGGGGGGATCAGTTGTACTCATGCGTGTTACAGTGTTTCGAAAACAATGGATTTCAAAGTAACTTAATATGACATACAATGCATTTAAACATGTTAACCCTCTCTCTTATCGCTCATCTCACGTCTATGATATGCTGACTAAGCAACTGTTTGTGATTTAAAGTATGGAATACAAATTTCTTCGTTTTATTTTTGTTTTGTGTGTATAGTAATAGCAAATAAAGTTAAAGCAATCTCAATAATAAACATCTCTTTTCTTATCAACTTGGTTAATATATCTTTGAAAATGAATTCTAACTTTACTGTTAGTGCAAAGTTTGCTTAAGAAAAATGCACACATGATAGAACTATATTGGTAAGCATCAATTAAATAGATTGACAGCCGGTTCAGCCTCATAATTATTGCAAATTCAGTTGTTTTAGAAACTTAGCTAGTAAATTTTACTCGGATAATACATAAAAACATTCAAGCATTCCAGGTTCCAAAGTCTACCAAGGTTTATTTATATTTGTCTGTTTTAGGCGTGTACCACTTTCCCAGCTTTGCACTTTCCCTAAACACAAATTTTACCACTGAAATCAAATAAGAAAATGGTCCATTGATCCTCAACTACATTCAAAAAACATTAGGAAGAAAATACAGATATACCTATATTTACATTTTTTAAGGACGGCGTTTCAATAAGTTTGGTAATCTTGTAAAATGGTGGAGCAATAGTTCCATTTCAAAATTCAAAAACAAAACAGAATGCCTCGTCAAACAGTACTCAAAATATAAATTCTTTGGAGAAAATGTACGTTCTGAATTCTGAAAGTATTTACTTACTATATATATATGGGTCCATCAAAATCTGTTCAAACTCCATAGAACGTTAATCGAAGGGGTGTTTATTCATATATTCAGTTGTACCCAACTGACTTCTTTTTAAAGCAATTAACTTAAGGAATTAAGCAATTCAATTTCAAAAGAAATCAGTCTGGCTCAAATGAATGTATGAATAACCTCTCTCCATGGTCTAGGGACGACCCTCCACTCAGCAAGCACCTCACAAAAACCCTCTCGATAAAAAATTAGTTGAACCTAAACTTCAACTATAACCTTCTCCCTTATAGACCTTTTTCATGTGAATCAAAGTGCTTAATCTTACTTCGCAATAAAATCTATGCTTTTACAGATAAAAGGAAAGCAAACGCTAGGTGAAAATATAGCTGACAATGGCGGGCTGAAGCAGGCGTTTCAGGTATTGCTATTATTAGTTTAATACAAAGCACATTCATCAGGCAATAGCAATAACCAAACTGCAACAGCATCTTCCCTTTCTGTTAGTAGCATCGCTTTTGTTTGTTCCACAAACGTTACAGAAATGAGAATTTTTGACGCTGACACAAAAAATAGCAAATCTTTAGACAAATAAACCATAAATTAGATTTGTCAGCCTCACGTGTCATTATGATCCTGACGATAATTTAGTCATTATTTTTGTTACATATGTAATAATAAATATGCACTTCGTTCACTTAAAATTCATCTTTTCCATTCAGGCTTATCAATTGCACAAAAACAAACTGCCAGTGCTACCAGGAATAAATGTAACCAACGATCAATTGTTTTTCATTGGATATGGACAGGTAAGAGCAAATAGCTTGGTTACATTGCCTTGTTGTCCGGTGTATTTAGAAAGCTACTTGTGCAAGAATTTTTTTGCCAGAACGTTTCCTTTTATCGGGAGTGACTAAATGGTAGCTTCTTGACTTTTGCAAATGTTCATATTTTCAGGCCATAACACGTTCCAACATCCACGAGTAATTTATTGATAGCTTCTATTTGTGACAACAGTTGCTAGAACTTTAAAACCATCACATTTTCCAACATCCACCAGTAATTTGTTGATAGCTTCTACTTGTGACAACAGTTGCTAGAACTTTAAAACCATCACATTTTCCAACATCCACGAGTAAATTATCGTTAGCTTCTATTCCTGACTATAGTTCCTAGAACTTTAAAACCATCACATTTTCCAACATCCATGAGTGCTTTAATGGTAGCTGCTATAGGTGACTTTTCGTACAGTAGAAGGAGCTTTCATACATTAACAATTTCCAACACCCACGGGTGATTTAATGGTAGCTTCTAAACTTTTTATTTGTCACTCTTGCAACAGTTGTTAAAACTTTAATATCAGGAACTGTCCAGAATGCAACAATCATTGATGAATTCAAATTTACAAATTTTTTGCTGACTTTTCGCCAGGTCTGGTGCGGAAAATTTCGACGACAAACAGCAATACTCCAAGTTGAAAACGGCGTTCATACCCCAGGCAAATACAGGTATCATGCAATAACGATAAACCACTTTGTTCTTGAGATTAAATTTGAGCTGGGTTTATTCGTCTTTACAACTGAATAGACATAAACAAATAAACTGCATTTCAAATAATAGCCCCTTTCCAACTTTGCTTCACTGAGAACACCAACATGAAAACGATACTGACAATGAAAGTATCGTTAAACCTACAGTTTTCATTGACTGCCAAAAATTCAGTTTTTATCTTTTGGCTTAAACATTTGAAAAATGCACTGTTTCAAAGACCTTACTCTAAGGCTTATTACATTTTCAATTCATGTTTGCATCAATATCCAATCTTTCCATTTAATCCAGAGTTATAGGTACGTTATCAAATTCCCACTACTTTGCCAAAGCGTTCAATTGTCCTGAAGGAAGTAAAATGAATCCAAAAAACAAATGCGCTGTCTGGTAGGAAGGAAAAGATTTCACAGAAAAGACTGTTCGCCTACGCCATGCCAATATTAAAGAGCTAGTAGCTACTATAGATTACACTGCATGTATTTGGCAATACCACATATTATACCACACGCGCAAATTTACAGTAAATTTCTGTAACAATTTTCTGCACTGAATAGAAAGAAAAGAGGACACAACAAATGCGGTTTTTTAAGTTTGACTGGTAGGAGTATGAAACTAAATACATGAAGTGCCAAAAGCAATATTTCTTTAATATTTGAGCCTTTTGAATTTTAAAAAGAAAACGCTTTCTTTTCACTTTTTGCTAGTAGAAAATCCAAAATCTTAGAAGCGTAATTCCAATTTTGAAGCATTGTTTAAACATAGTATAACAACATTCCAGAGTCAAACGGAAACAGCCGTATTATGTACAATAAAATATGACTAAAGTCACTATGTGGATTTGATAAATCTAACAATATTATTTGATGTAGTGCAACAGAAAATATGACCGTTCCTTGTATTGTATATATATGATTCACGCCTTAGAGCAAATGATGTAATTTAAAATTTTATTATAACTTAAGTAAAAACATGTATATCAAGAGTTTCTCTTAGTTTTTGTTATTTGGAAAAACACGTGATTCAGCAGAAATACTACACAAAAATGTGTAAAACTAATTGTGCACGTGAAATGCCTCGCACAATGTAGCAGAACTACGTATGGGTAACTACTACGGTATGCGTAAAACTGTTGCTTAACAATGAACCACTTCACAAGATCTCGGTCATTACCGCTCATTTCATTACTAAAGAAGCTTCCTTAAGCACATACAAACACCGCTGATTTTTTACCTTAAGGATCAATGTTTTACAGCCCTAAATCTAATCGCTCCACATGCAATTGTTTCCACTCGTTGACAAGCCAATTTTTTCACTTTTACAGAGAGGTCATCCATAAACTCAACATAAAATTCTTTTCCATACAAATGAAAATACGCTTACCATGCATAAATCAAGGTTCCTTTACCAAGGATGCTACATTTCACCACACTGAGATATGACCACTGGTAGTTTGGGTCTGTTGTTTGGTCCAACTGGTACATTCTAAATAAAAGAAACATTAAAATTGTACTAATAATTGTGACATTACGGGTGAAATAAAAAATGACGAATTTCGGGACGTCGTATCTTTTTCAAATCTTTGATCGCGCTTGAATTTTCATCTAAGATGAAACCAATCACTTTGAATGCAAATATGTGGATAGCCAATTCAATTTATAAATATATTTTCGTGATACAGACAAACGAGATAAACGTAAAAACCAACCTCAATTTTTCTCATTACAAGCAGCCCATCAACGATTTTTCCTTAATGTGCAAAAATCATTTAAATAATGTAACATTACAGCACAATGTATAGACAAATAGATACCTTCAAAAAACTTACCAAAAACAACATGTTTGCCATCCAAAAAATCACATTTTGCACAGGTTATAAAAAACTGTTAACAAACAAAAGATTAATGGAAAAGTGTACAATGTCATTTCTGATATCAATATAGGAAAGTAAATCTGAATGAATCAATATTTTGAATGACTATACAGCAAATTGAAATGATTGAAATAAATTTGCAGAAACAGTTGGTCTATGCTGAAAGCCTAAAATAGTTCTATTTGCATACCTGACAGCCATTAGTGTGAGGTCCGCTATTAGCCTGCAAATAGTTATAAAAAAATCACATGTCTATACCATCAATTCAATAAGACATCACATGCATATTTACATATAATTCTTAAAACATAGTTGCAATCCAAATATTTAAACAATACATAGTACATATATACATCAAATATCATAAAGATTGCTCCAGGTACACACCATTGAGAGTAAACCAGCCTTTTCATGTTTTACTTTGAAGTTCTCATCAGAAAATGCAACACCACCATAAATACTAGACACTCCAGTACCATCACCCTGGAATTGAATAGGCAGAATAAAGCAGGCCGGTTGTAATAAATTTCACATTTTTTCACAGGAATTTCATTAAAGTGATTGAGCAATTATGAAATTTTTCATTTAAAAATCTGCCTATGAACTATTTAAACCCGTTACATTTTCCTGAAATTTACAAATCTTACCAACAATAAATCAACTCACTTTAATAAAATCTCCACCTTGCACCATGAAGTCCTTGATGACCCTGAACATACACATAATTTCATTTAGTAGCACAATAAGCACAAAATATATTCAATTAAAAAGATTAGTTGCAATAGAAAGTGACAAAAAATGGCAACCATGCAATTTTACCAAGAATATACATGTCAATTTTTAATGATGTCAAAACAGGAGAGGCTTAGTTGGTTCACTAGTAATACACACAATTTTTAGTCAAATCCTAGCACAATACAATAGATATAACACGATACAACATAAAAATATGTAAAAGTGAATTAAGATATCAATGCAAGAGATTACAAGTACATATATACCTGTGAAATGTGGCATTTTTAAAACCAATAGGAGCACCATCTTTTCTAAAATATCACAATTCACCATCATTAATATAAAATGCAGTCTCGAGAAATTTATTTATATAAATTAACACAAAATACTCAAAATATTGTAGCTTGTCATGGTGACTCACTTGTATTCTCCGGTGCAAAATTGCCTGAAAAAAACATAATGAAAATACTCAATAGTTTTCCACATTAAGAAAAAATAAAACTAGGGTCCGGGGCATTCACCCAAAACCTTTTTTCGACTTTTTCACCTGAAATTTTCGGCAGTCTTTGGCACAACATCGGCAAACAGCTCCATTTTCATTCTTCCAACATCCTAAATGAAAAAAAATTAAAAAAAAATTCTCGATGTTTTAGCTATGCCACAACATTTTTAAAGAAAAAATGAACGTTCATTACAAATAAAAAGTTATTCAAACCTGTCCCCCAATAGATATATCAAAAAACACGACTGGGTTGACGGCAGCCATTTTGAAACTGTTGCCGCGCGCCCACTCTTTACTTCATGTAAGATTTTACCTCATAAGAATTTTACCATCGAGACCATGAGCTAGACGAAGTGACGTTTGTAGTAAACAATCCAATTTTTGTCTCAAAACAAACCAAATCGACATGCATTTTACAGCGTGAATTGCTTTGGCCTCTGGCCTTAGCCCTCGTAAAGGTAGTTTTTCACTACGAACCTCCCAACAACCAGCAGGAAGAAACATATATTTCGTGCACGTCCACGTTCCCCAACTTTTCCAGTCCTTTCTCCCCTCCCCCCACGCTTGAACTTCAAGTACATTAGCTAATGACTTTGAGTGTTGCATAATCTTGATAAAAGTCAGCAGCCCTCAAGCGCTGATAAAAACAAAGACAATTGCATAATTCACGTGTCGACCACTTGTAAACAGAATTGCTTCAGCAAAACAATCACAACCAAGAGAGAAATGTCTCAATTCATCACTGTTTTTGGTGCAACTGGCGCCCAAGGTGGTTCCGTAGTAAAGGCCTTACTTGCTGGAGGGAAATTCAAGGTTCGAGGAGTCACTCGGTCACTAGAAAGCAAAAAGTCTAAATTACTAGCTTCGCAAGGTGTAGATATGGTGCAGGCAAGTTTAGACGATACAGACTCCCTTCATAAAGCAATATCTGGTTCTTACGGAGTGTTTCTCGTCACCAACTTTTGGGAAGACATGGACGGCGCAAAAGAAACACGACAGGGTAAAAGTGCTGTAGATGTTTGTTTGCACGAAGGTGTCAAACATTTGATCTACAGCGGTTTGGAAAGCGCAGAGAAAAAGTATGGATTTGTAGTGGGTAAGCGATACTGCATACTGATTTTCTTTTCATCACACTAATACGAATGGAAGCAATTTAGGCTCTTCTTATTGTCAAGAAATATTTATTAGAGCGTGCCTGAGTACTCAAGCTGTTCCACTGTCAAATTATGCATGATATTGATGATAATACCTCAGCCTCCACAAATATTTTTTCCACAACAGTAACTTTTCTTCCATTATTTAATGACCAGAAAATGGACAACTTCTCCACATTGAATTACAAATATTGTCGATTAGGCAATATTCGTTTTCGATCGTCATTAAATTCAACATAATTAATTGCTTTGCAAATGTGACAATAACAAAATGGAAGTCGGATAAAAGAGGTGTCGAATGGCAAAGAAAATAGTATACCCCGCCCTCCCTCCCAGCGCCAGCTGGCAAGAGGTGATAGCAATGAACTGAGTAAAACTTTGTTTTCAGACAAATAGTTCTATATTTAGACATGAAACAAATGTTGAATCTTTAATATGTTCACTAAAATATAAGGGTTCCTCTAACGTGACAGCACGTTAATAAAAATTTTTCACTTGACACACATTGACTCTCCACAGAGCATTTTGATTCAAAAGGAAAGGTTGAAGACTACTTAATGGAAAAGGCTGGATCGATGATTTGGAACAGCATCCGCTTATCCGCTTACTTAAACAATTTTCTCACAAACTGGAAGCCAAAGAAACAGGAAGATGGTACATATGAGCTGAGCATACCCATGGAAGGCAAGCCAATGTATGGAATAGACGTAAACGATTGTGGAGAATGTGTCGCAAGTAAGAATATACCAAGTGCATGCTAGTCTTTGGTCAAATGAAGTTCTTCCACTTTTCTTTAGTTACCAATTCATCAGGCACCCTGTGTCAATAAACTCGCGTTTTTGTTTAATCAAGGCGTATTCAACCACCCAGAAACCTACGGCAAGAAAATTATTGGAATTGCTACGGACTACCTCACTGTCCAACAATATTGTGATGCCTATAGCAAAGTATTCGCACCTCGTGTTTTTAAGGTAACTTAACCTTATTTATAGATGATTTTATGGGTAACGTCACTTGTTAGTCGAGAATCTTGAGACAAAGCAAGAGAAGCTAGGATAAGATTGTTCAGACATATTACGAAAATGGATAAATAAATATATAGACAAAAATGTACTGAATTTTGAGCTGCGTTTGTAAGACGTCTAAATGAAAACCTAAGACAAATTATCGGAAGAATGCAATGAAAAAAGGAAATGGAATTGGGGGGTGGTGGTGAAACAAAATACAGTAAATAGAAAGAGACGGGTGCAAATGATTTGCTGTGACGAAAGCTGAAAGAAAAATCGGAAAGAGAAGATAGAGGTTGGATTGAGAGAGATAGTATTTCTCCATAATCTTCAATTTTGATATCAACAGTTTCAAAATTGATGCTTTATCTTTAGAGGTCGAAATGTCCTTCAACTTAATCTTTTTTTTATCTCAGGATGCAAAAGCAAAGACCGACAAAGATCAGGACTATGGATTTCCTGGTGCAGAGGAAATGGCAGCCATGTTTAAGCTGTATCAGAAAGGAATCGAGCGTGATATAGAACTCACGAAAACTTTGAATCCCAAGGCAAAAACGTGGGAGCAATTTGTAGTTGAACATAAAGCAAATCTGGAAACATTATTATAAGAATTTTACTGAAAATTAGAATTTGAAAGTGTACGGCTCATTTCATTCTGAATAGATTTTTTTCAATGCATTCTGTGTGAAACGTTGTTTAATTAGAGCAGTTTGAGCATAGACCATTTCATTAGAAGATTATAGACATAGTCATTACTCATCGTAACTCAGGGGGAACTCGTACTGCGAAACAATAGCAAAGTTTAATGTTTTTATTGAAACAACGACACATTACCAACTGGATAATCACCGCTTGAAAATAATCATTTAAAATGTTTTGTTCATGCAATAATGACGATGACTAATTTGCTAAACATGTTCAGCGTCATTGTTTCAATTTGTGTAAGGTTTCTTGATGTCAGCCTGCATCTCTTGTGCAAAGTTTTGTTCGTGTTTGAGCAAGTAAGGTTTAGGTTGCTCTATTCATGTTTGGTAATACAATGACGCAACTCCTGTGGTTATGTTAAGGGTAGGGCTCTATACAAGCACAGAATAGATACGTAACAGAAGCGCCACTCAGCGAAAAATCTGTCCCCCACTTGCACCCAGTTCTCAAATGCGCATTCGTTGCGTCCGCTATTACTCCAGACAGATAAACTGGCCAGAATACGTATATGTTAATATTAAGGAGAGTTGTTTTTCGAAAATTTGACGAATGTAAATTCACTTATGGACAAAATTTTCGATGCCATCGGACAGGATACCAAGGACATGAGGTGAGAAACAGTTTTGTTGTAAAATACGTTCGTCAACTATAATTTTACGGGTTTTATAGTTTCTTGCCTTGAATTGTATGCGCGATCCATGTTTAGAACGTCTCTTACATTGAACGGCAATTGCACTAAGAATTTATAATTTAGGACTAATACAAAGGTAATAAATATATTTAGTGTGATTACATTTCTGTATATTCTAGTAAAGAGTTTCCTATTAGAATGGTCAATGGATTTGTTAGAAGCAATAAAACGACCTACTGTGCGTAAAGAACGTTCTTCAGATGAAGACGTTAATAGTGTAGAATTTGGACTAAACTACTTTTATATATTTAATGTTTGAATCGGGGCTTTTTATTTGCTTGTCTGCCTAATTGTAATTGAAAGTTTTTATTTGTAATTGTATGTTGAGTTCCTATGGTACGGTGGCCGGTACGGGTCACCAGAAAAATAATTTAGAAAGCATAACAGACAATAAGAAAACATCATTCAAAATTATACTACACATTTCAAAATACTCACTACACATTTCAAAATACTCACTACACATTTCAAAATTCTCACTACACATTCGTCCCAGTCTTACCCTGGTCTGGCCTGCCCACGGTCATCATTAGTTTCCATCTACGAAACTGACGTGACATCATAAAGTAAGCATATTAAATATATAATTCCGCATTTCACAAGACAAACAAATTGGGACATTGGAATAATAGCATGAACATATTGGCTGAACTCTAATCAGAAATTCTTCCAGGGTTATGCTGGACTTATGTCGGGCAACAACATTAGTAGACGATCTACATATCGCAAGCAAATGTATTTGCAGTGGCTTTCGACACATGTCCGTACTTTAATAGCAAAAATTTGAGTATATGAATTTGCATTCGCTATGTCGCGTACGTACTTGTGTGATGCGTTACAAAAATAACAAGGAAACCAAAGAGGAAATTTACACATAGTGCTATAAATTGTTGCACAAGAAACGCCAAAGAAAATGAAAAGTTCGGTAATTTCGAGTAAAAGCAATAAATTTAGAACTTCGATACCAGTCACGTCAATAAGTGCATTAGTTAAACTAATGACTGTCGAATATCACCAATACAAATACAACTACATGCAATCTGTAGATTGACCACTCATGTTGTGTTGTCTAACCAAGACCAAGAAATCCCTGGAAGAAATATTGTTCATGTACGCATCGTATTTTGATGCTATTGTGGCGATATGTTTGTCTATGTGCCGAGTTCCACATAGACAACATATCGCCACAATAGCATCAAAATATTCTTACGCGTACTGAAATATTAGTAACATCAGAAGCGTATATTTATATTAGCTTTCTGACATCACGTCAATTTCGTATATGTAAACCAATGATGACCGCGGGCAGGCCAGACCAGGGTAAGACTGGGACGAATGTGTAGTGAGTATTTTGAAATGTGTAGCGAGTATTTTGAAATGTGTAGCGAGTATTTTGAAATGTGTAGTGAGTATTTTGAAATGTGTAGCGAGTATTTTGAAAGGTGTAGTGAGTATTTTGAAATGTGTAGCGAGTATTTTGAAATGTGTAGTGAATATTTTGAAATGTGTAGTGAGTATTTTGAAATGTGTAGTGAGTATTTTGAAATGTGTAGTGAGTATTTTGAAATATGTAGTGAGTATTTTGAAATGTGTAGTATGATTTTGAGTGATGTTTTCTTATTGTTTGTTATGTTTTTTAAATTATTTTTCTGGTGACCCGTACCGGCCACCGTACTATGGCTATCATGTAATTCGTAATTGTATTAACTTACAAATAAAGATGTTTTTTGTTGTCTTATTTTTAATAAAAAATATATGAACTTACAATTAATTAAAGAATGAAGTTATTGATAAATTGTTTCAATTAAATTAACAACTCTGTCATTATGTCAAACATATTGTCAAACTCCTTACATTTTAGCTTTTTGGTTAAACTTCACTAGTGAGATGCGACAAACAATTGTAGTAACAGAAATTATAGCAACAAAGGGCTCGAACATTTAATTTTTGCTAAAATCCATAAACTTCATTCAAGAAATTAAAATTTTTATTGTAAATAATTATGTCACAAACAGAACTTAATCTGAGAAAAACCAGTTATAGTTACTCTTAATGCCATTATTTAAACATTAATACTTTACACAGTAAAATTTTTACCAAAAGGTGAAACACAGATACACCAGAAAACATTTTTAAAACATTTGACAACGGGGGGAAACTATGCCAAACCAAGGCATAGAATTTGAACAAACGGGGCTGAGCTCCCTCCAACACACCCCTGTTTGATCATTACACACATATAGAAGTTTTGTCATTCCTCAACCAATAAATTTAACTCTTTGCTAAATTAAAGATTGGATCAGAATCATATGCTGTATAAAAGACTACAAACAGTAGCATTTATAGCAAACAGACTGTTCTTCAACAACAGAAATGTTTCATATAATAGAAATAATATATTCATTTTAAAGAAATGCTTCACCAAAATTTTCAGCAGAATCCCTAACAAACTTTGTTAGAAATAAACTTTAATACTTTACAAAGTGATAAAGGCGAAATAACTTCATATAAAGGAATAAAACGTTTAAGGTCAAATGCATCTTGGTCAAATCATTGCATATTTCAATAACTAAAAAGTAAAAAAGTCTGTCATTTTCTGCTGAGCAAGAAAATTTTGTGATCTTTCAGAATAAAAAATATCATGCTTGGATTAAATTGGGGCATAAACCACTCACTACCATTAAATTGTTACAAATCTTGAACACAAATCTCCGGACCAAATCTGCATGATTACTATGATTCGAAGTTTCGAACAAAGTCTTCCAAGTATTTGATAACACTGATGCCAGGATAACATTGCGGCTTGCCACCGCTTAAAGATCTTGAAAATTGTTACAGAGTCGGAACATAAGCCGAGAAAACACGTTCACGTACGAAAAATACTTCTTACAATGGGTCACGATCAATTTGAAGCACGAACTAGTAAACCGCAAACGAAGCTCAAACCAATGAAATTAAATCGGGTCTAAAGTAAATGGTTTGAACCTGAGAATCGACAAGTTTAAGATGATCGTTCAGGTTAATAAAGTCTGAGAAGGACTGTTTTTGTTGTTGTTGACTGACGTTTCGACAACAACAAAAACAGTCCTTCTCAGGACTTTATTAACCTGGACGATCATCATTTACAAACATGTAAATCAGGTCTGCCGCAAATCGTTAAAAAAACGCAGAGCTTGCTATTATTCCTAATATATTTGATACTACCATGGAATAAGCTTAAATTGCTTTCTTCTTTTGCATATAAACCCAATTTCCAATAGTATTATTATAGTTTCACTTTGCAAGTAGGAACCAAAATGGCGGCTACGCGCTCGCCCCAGACCGTTTGTCCCAACTCTTATTCTATAGGGTGAAGGCTATTTCAGATATGGTAGAGCACCTTGTGCCCAGGCCCTTTAGCTTTAACTTGTCTACTTAAAGCTATTAATAATTAATTTTCAGCATATTTACATATTACATCGCGCTTACTCTTTCGCAACATGGAAGATTATACTTTATCTGATTTACATATTCCAAAAATTGACAATATTGTCAACGAAGAAAATCCTTTTCGGTTATGTAAGTTCTTTGGAAAAGCGCTTGAGCTCGTGAGGGATTTTGAAAACGCGACCACGACAAAATTCACAGTCTTCACGAAAACAAAGAGCTTTGGAGCCACCGGTAAAATGCGTTTTGAGCGCGAATATTTGAAATACTCTACCGTGATGATGCAATCATCACACATTATTAAGTATTTATTTTAGTAGAATGTCGAATACATTTGTTGAACCAAGTATAAATCAATAAAATCAGTAGGTTTAAAAATGTAATGTTTATCTGCAGCTAAGTATTTACGGAAGTTGTTAGGATTCATCTTGTGCATTTCCTGCTGTATAATATCAATATAATAATCGTACATGGTCATGGCCTGTTTTAATTTATTAAAAGTGCACCTTGTTAACGAAATTAAAAATCTCCTCATCTTCACGTAACATATTATATTGCTTCGCTGTATGTTAACATAATCTATGAAAACTACTGTTACAATGGTTTTTGTGCGTTAGACCAAAATGACCTAAAACCACACCGTATTTGGTGGGAATCTAAATCCGGTACTGAAAAGCCCATCCCTTTTGATGGAGTACCGTTCTATTTGGTTGGAACGAATGTCTTGGAATGCCAACACGGTGTAGACAGAAACGTTTATCAGAAAAAAAAACATGAATCAAATCTCATGGTAATTATTCTAGATGACACCACTACTCTTCATAAATTCTTTAGGTAATGAAAGTAAATTGGACTTAAAAATTAAAGTTTTACTCATATTACAGGGCGACCGTGGAGATCATACTATAAAACAGAGACGTTTCTGGAAGCAAGATAGTAAAAAACTTGATTGCACAGCCATCATACAAATGAAAGAAGTAATAAAGTTTCCAGAATACAAGGTATATTACTAATAAAAAAGAAAATTGCTTATACTGTGGCTTTATTTTTGTTCATAGTAAATCGACAAGTATACACATGTTAAATTGGTTTTTTCTAAAAGATTAGAGTGCAATATTTTAGGTGCCACATGACGCTAAAAGAAGAAACGTGACACGACCTCTGCTGATTTGCGAGCCCATTTAATAAACCCCAGCTCCTCAGTAAAACTGAACGCAGAATCTATATTTCATTTCCGCGGCCAGAAGATCACACCACGCACAGACTTGGAATGGTATATGCTCTTGTTTGACATGCTCGTCTTGCAATCTGTAGACAAGAACATCACAATCATTTGTGGCATCTGCATGATAAAATTCATGACACTAACTAGTTTTGCCTTTGCTATTTCAGCACAGCGGAATGACACAACGACTAGATGAAAAGGTTATTAGAAAGATAGAAGAACTTGTCAGTGAAGGAGTGCGAACTGTTCATGAGATGAAACGTCATTTGAAAATATACATAAAGGATGAGCTTTTTCGAGGAAAAGAACAACCTCTGCGTGACAATCGACGATACTTTCCCAGAGCTAAAACAATAAAAAATCACATGTACAACGCGGCAATGAGAGCCAGGCTTTCATTTATGGACCAAGACAACGTCACTCGACTGGTTGAAAATGGAAATGCGAAAAGGCTTCGAGCAACGATAGATTTTATTTCCGTCCATACGTTGAAGGAAGCGGTGAATTCAAAATACAGACTTACAAAATGAAGAAGACAGCGATGACGACATAAGTTTAAATGAAGAGGTTATGACGACTGCAAAGGAGCAAAAAGGGCGACTTTTGTTTATACACCAAACGGTTTGGCAATCAAGGTTACTTTGTCGTTATGGTCAGGAACTAGCTTTCCTAGATGCCACATACAAAACCACAAAGTATTCCTTGCCATTATTTTTTGTTGCTGTGAAGACTAATGTTGATTATGCTATCGTTTCATCCTTTGTAATACAAGATGAAACAACAGCTAGTATAACAGAAGCTCTCAGTATTTTACATCAATGGAATCCACGATGGAACCCACAGCATATGATGACCGATCTTTGTGAAGAAGAAATAAAATCAATTGAGTTTGTTTTTCCAGGTATGAGGCACGAGCTGCAAGAGGTTTTGACCAAAACATCTGGCATTCTTTATTGCACTAAATCAACCATGTAACACCTAAATAATAAAAGCAATGAACAGCAATTCACAAGTTATATTTCTTCCATCGCTAATCAAATATAATAATAATATTAGAAAACTTTGGACATGGGAAGGGAAGAAAGGGTTGATCAATTTCTACATGCAGATTATTTTTATTTTACGATATATATGTAATCGTGTTGACAAAGTTAAACATCCTTTTAAAAAGTTCTATATACCATGGCTACGTAGCTCTGCAATTCATCATGGAGTGTAACATGTGGGTATATTTTCAGACTGCAAAGTGCTGCTTTGCGATTTTCATCGAGCAAGCATGGGAACGTTGGACATCTAAAAAGATAATGGAATCGCAGACAACCGTGAATTTATATTGGCTTTGATGAGACAATTGGCACGGGCAAGAACTGAGGATGCATACGAAAATGCCCTGCAAAAAGTTAAAGACACTAGCGAGTGGAAGACCAATAACAGCTTTAAAAGGTGGCTGGAAAACACGTGGATAAGACACAAAAAGGTAAAAAAAAGAATACAGACTTAGCAATTGCACGGCCGCAAAATGTACTGCACAAATAACTACCACAAGCGTTTACACGAAAAAAGTGGAAAAGTACGTTTCATTGTACTTTCCTTCTTCGTCAGGTCAATACAAGTAAAACCTACAACCATTTTTTATACTTTATTGATATTTAACTTTTACAGAGATGGGTATGGGCATTCAGAAAAGAGCGTCTGCTTGTTTATGTTAGCACAAACAATGGGTTGGAAAGACAAAATGGGGCTTTCAAACACCAGTATTTACTGACTTTACGAAAGTATTCTCTCAGCGCAATGTTAACAATTCTTGTAAATGAATTTCTTCCTGACAAATACGAAAGGTAAGTCTGGCATTCAATTAATAGATGATCTAAAGCGACACAGTTTTTCTTTCTGAATGAGAGGCAGATCCTGGCTAGCTTACGTATATTATTTATATTAATGCCGAGAGTAAACCGTAAAGTGAAGTTGCATGAATCTCATGCATACTGGTTTTAAAACCAAAATTTTTGTATTAAATTTTGTGTGCTTGCACCAAAAAGTTGTGTATTATATTTTTTATTTCAGCTACATCAACGAAAATACAAAATGCTCCACAGCATATAAGCGTTATAACAAACAGATTCCAGAATTTCTGCATAATCGTCCTAACTACCTTATCGACCATTGCATGAAACGTCTTGTTTATGCTGAAGATGTACGTTCAATCGCTTTGGTGGATGACTCTATGGGTGCATTTTTAGTAACCAGTGAAATGGGAAAGCACAACTATCATGTATATTTTAGGGCACCTCATGACACAGAAATACCTTGCTGCGAGTGTCTTGACTGGCAACGAAACTATTTACCATGCAAGCACTTATTAGCGATTATTCAAAATAAAAAATTTACAAGTTGGGGATGGAAAAACCTACCAACAGCATATAAAGATTCTCCATTTCTGACCTTAGATGTCGATATATTGTTCAAACCAATTGATCATATTTTGAAAAGAGTTGACGATGCTCAGCAAGTTTGTGGTGCAGAAAGTTTTCATGACCAAGAAAAGAAACAGAAGAAGCTGACATAAAACAAACTATGACAGCTGTTCTACCTAAACCAGTGTTCCCAAAACGGACAGCTATTACTAGGTGTTGTGATCTGTTATCTAGAATAAAGAGTTTGGTCCACGAGTGTACTAATTCAACTTCACTAGCCAGCCTGGAAAAGAGTCTTCAGTCTGCACTTCAGGAATTTGAGAATAACAGCAATACTGATTCAGGACTAGCACTTACAGCTCCTGACGCCGGGAAAACGTCAATGAAACGTAAAAAAAGAACATCAAATATCAGCAAGTCAACAACCAGCAATCCTAAAAGAAAGCCAGATTATCTAATCTACCATCTGCAAAATTAAAGAAGATACACCCATACAATAGAAGAGTTGGCCAACATGCTGCAATGATGAGAAAATTCTATAATAAAGACTTATCTCTAGAGAAAATGGAAACACAATCATCCAGCAAAGATACACAAACAATTCCTTTCATGCCAACTCCTCACACAGGTTTCACACCTCTCATTACAGAATCTTCATCAATCACCGCAAAACTATTAAGGAATGGACCACATTCTGTATCTCTGCTAGAAATTAAATCATTAGAGCCATTTTGCACAGAGAAACACAGATTTTACTTAGTAGCATGAGTGAAAAACCTTTCATACCTGGCTGGTTGTATGATGAAGTAATCAATTCATTTTTCTGTGTCTACAGGAAGATCATGAACATGTTCTTTATGCAGCATCCACATCAATGCTTTCCTTGCAAAATGGTGGTCAGGGAGGAAGACTTTGGTCTGAAAAGAGCAATGAAAAAAATCTCATTATAGCACCTTGGAACCCAACTCACTGTCACTGGACATTGATTGCCATAGATCTGCAACAGAGAAATATTTTTATGTTGATCCATTGAATGCAGCTGATGATATTAAAACAAGGCACAGATGCAGATTATAGCAAAATTCATCCCTTTAATTATTGAAAACAAATTTGGTCTGTCAGAATTTCAGATCTCCTCACCGCCGCATACTCTTCAACAAGATACTTCAAGTTGTGGTGTTTTTGTTTGCTGGTATGCATCACAGTTTGTGCAAGGAAAGTCAATGAGTGATGGCTGTGATCCATATAAGATGAGGGTTAGAATTTACAACAAAATAAGAGGAACTTGTCTAAAACAACACTCACAACAGCCAGAACTTTCCAAATGCCCACTATGTGGAGCACCTGTTTTGAAGAAAACTTAAAATGTATATGGTGCTGTCAATCCTACCACATATTATGTATTGACTCTGAAAATCATCCTACAACAAGGAATCCTCACTTTTATTGCCCACCATAAACTGAAAGGACTCTTCCTAAAATAAATGACAGGTGATTGGAAATGGAGAAAACATGCAAATAGAGAGTAAAATTATATGCTAAGCTGCCCTCATGTCAATTTTGATGTTTTGACACAAAATTACTAATAGGGTAATGATTGTCTAGGTAAAGTTAACACACAACAACCATTCCCATAAAACAGTCTAAAGGATGGGCATGTGTAAATACATCCACCAAAACCAATCATCACCCATTGCCTATGTAATTAGTAATACTAGTTTGTGTATCATATACATATGTATAGCATACCCAAGTAATATGGCGATTGCTTCAACACCTAAACCAATGTATAGCCTATATAATAACAAACTTAGCTTGTGCTTTACACGTTTCCAGTGCAGTACTTGTTGTCTTATATTTTAACTGTGTTGCATTTGCCCTGTAATTACTTCTTGTGTAATGATTTGGGCGAAAATATCATCATCAAGAATGTTTGAATTTGAATACTAACATAACACAATTGAAAATTGAGTATTTACTACCATTTATCGTTGATAGAAATGTGCTACAAACCGTCGCTGCAATAATTCGCACAGTGCAAGTACAGCACTACAAATTACAAAATATCGGTAAATAAATTAAAAGTATACAATACTTGCTCACCTAGTCACCTTAGTCATCTTTATCTTTGATATGATGTTTGAATAAAACCCGCTATTATTTAAGATATTTCACTATCCCACTATCTTCTGTAAAGCCATATAATGTATAAAACGCCATGGCAAGTTGCAAGCACGTAAGAAATAGGAATGTTATCATGATAAGGAGAATATCATTTACTCACGTGCGTGTCAAGAAAAGAAGGGCCTGGGCACAAGGTGCTCTACCATATCTGAAATAGCCTTCACCATTCTATAGAGGGCTCTGCCATTGAGCTCTATAAGACCTGGAGGGGCAAAGGGGCCTGGACCCCGTGGTCAAAAACATTGCGGTAATGGCGGATTTTGGTTGTCAAAACTTCCACTTTGAGAAAAATTTTTAACATTCGCTCCCTCCCGAAACGGATCTCTATTACTGCTCATAGTAATGACAACCAGCGAAAACAACCACGATACCGTAAGCATAAAATATTGAAAATAATGCTTCAGGTTTTTGTGAAATAGACACACACATTTAAATGAGGTAAATCTACTGTAAAATAGCGTATATGTTTTCAAGTAATGCTTTAGCTATATTAGAAATAAATATCAAACGGCAATCTTTACACTGTCAATGTGTTGTTAAGCTTTAATGCATAATCCCATGCGCATTATTTGTGTTTTTGACTGTTTGTTAACAGCTTGGTGCAACTGTCTTTCTTGAATAGATGGGTAAATCTTAGTTAAAATGTCCAAAAAGGAGTTAGAAAAAGTTAGCTTACCCCTACGACTTAAGTCGACTGGAAATATATTATTAGTAGGTATGTAATTTTTGAGTTTTTTTTGGTAGGATTGATTCTGGATGTCTTATAAAGTATTATGATATTCTGATAAATCTACTGAGAACTTATGAGGAAAATATCTTGAACTAGGAGAGCAAAAGAACGAAATTCAGAAATTCTATAATCATGTTGCTGGTTCTGTTTTGAGCCAAGATATTAGAAACTGGATTGTTATTGACAACCATGGATCTACTACTGAACAGAACTACATTAATTTCCCATTGAAAATACTATTTCTTAAATCAAAGTGCATTGGTTTCTCTGACATAACACTTTTCTTAATGGTGCATGAAGGCAAACCTGTTTAAATAATTATAATGTAGGTGAAGATATTTAGCATGTTGTATAATTGTTATTATACAGACATTATTTATAATATTATGGCCTTGTGTAATGTATGTCAAGAACTTATTAATTCTCAAAAATGCTAACCTTCTTGCACTACTTTTTCTTTGTGTCCTTACAAATTACAGTTACCTATACTAATTTTTCTAGGTTCAAACAACTTGACAAATTTTTGAATTTTACATTATGCCTTTGAATTTTTTCTTTTGTCTTTTGGTAAAAATATCAGTGAATGACTTAAAAATCAAGTTTATCTAAAATAGTATTTTGTACAAAGTAACTATACATAATTGGAAAAGTCTCATGTTGAAGGCAGATGTGGCTTCTTTTACTAGATTGCTACTCTTATTCTTTTAAATGATATCGTAATTCTTCAAAAGACATAAAAGTTCTTTGCCATCAATTTTGCTTCTTCCACATTCAACTTCATTGCAACCAATGCATCTTATGTGAATTTTTAATCACCTGGAATTGAAAACATTATGGATTTTGTCAGATGATGCAGTACTGTATTTAATGTTTCATGCATGTCATGATAAGCTTTTCTTGAGCAAATATTTCAAGGTAGGAGCAAAATTTGGCACATTATTGAAAAGTAGTTTTTATCTTGATTTTGATGTACTAACCTGTTTACTACACTGTGTAACAAACAATTCATTTACAGAAACACCAGATGGCATTTATAAAACTTTTAGCATAAAGCAAACCTTTACACACCATCATCATGCTTGTCCAAATCTGTCAAATTGTCCAGGCTAGCTGTTTAATACAGGTAATTTTATTATTGCGACATGTACCAAAGAGCTCATTAATTAATCCTGCACTGCATTTGATTTCAATACAGCTCTGTCCTTAATATTTGCTTCATATTTTCAGAAAAATATCATGAAAAAATCCTCCATTTCAACTCAGTTGAAACAAGGAGTTTTAAGATATGCATATCTCGATAAGAACTGGTTGCTTTGCCTCGTCTAGCAATCGATTAAGTAAAGAACAAATAAGAATGGATAAACATAACTTAAATTATAACTTAGGAGTAAAAACATTCACAAAATATATGCCATCACACTTCAAGTATTGACTTAAAACAAAACACTGAACACTTTAAATAGTAAACAATCTTACGTTGCTTACCGGTGTCATGAAATGTTTCCTTTTCTGGCATTACTTCAGCATCCGTATGCCAAACAAGTTTGCAGCATGTTTTAAAGATAAAATTTCTAAAAGTTTTTGTGTTTGGCATTGATATTTTATATAATCGCAATTGTGGTTGTCAAATCCGGGTGGGCGAAAAAAATTTCATTTTATGAGCCCGCGTCTTTCCGCTGACTTTGACAACCAAAATCCGCCATGTTTTTGACCACGCGGCCGCGCGCTGATAATTTATAGTAATTTGGTTGACATGTCCCTCCAGGTCTTATAGAACTCAATGGGCTCTGCTCTGGCAATATGTACTGTATATCACTTCAGTGACTATTAAGATCAGCGGAGGTATAATTTTTTAACAATGGCGGTCGATCTTTCTTCAGCTAAGGATTGGATATACATAATAGTCGTACCAAGTAATCTTTTAGTTGCCATAATCTGTTCGATCCTTGGGCGTTATTGGGAAAAAAGAAAAAGGAAAAGGGAAGATAATGAAATACTGCTTGCATTTTTTGTTGAACGTTTCAACAAGGTGAAAGACACGTTCGAAAGGTTGAAAAAAAATCTTGAACTTTTGGGAAATAGACACGTAAATGATTGGTCGGAATTGCATATTTTGTTATACAAGTGGCGCCGAGAAAATTGGGAAGAATCATCAGATGACTCTAGAAAAGACTAACTTCAGATGTTGAAGAAATAATGAAGTTCATCCAGCAATTGAACTTATTTTTTATTATAAAAAATCAAGCATGCCCAGATGGTATCAAGATGCAATATTCAAGCGAAATCATTGAGATGGGTGATTCCGTGTACCTATTTGTGCCAAAACATCAACAAGATGTTATTGATAAAGTGCAAAAATATTTTGACCCTGCTCAGACTGTCCCAGAATCTCTTTTGTCAAGATGCTGTAGAATACAACGGACAAGTGAATATGAAAGAATTAATGACGAGCAATCTACCACAAGTGCATCAAGACATTCACCCACTGCAACTCAACCACCAAATCTAAGGAAGGTTTGGCCTGGCGAAGCTGCAATAGAAAATGCAATCCCGTACCTTAAATATTTCGCATACCCAAAATATGGAGAGAAGATGACATGGAGAGATGACATGAAGATTGAATTTGCTGAAATTCCTGATGACATTGTGGCACTCATGGATCATATTGAAAAGGGGGTGATAAAAGAAAATGATGAGCTGTTATTAGATGAAATTAAGAAGCTTTGGGAATTTAATAGATATGAAGCACCAGGTGGAGGATTGTTGCATTCCATGAGAATGATAATCTTTAAGATTGATCAAAATCATCATTTTTTTAATAGACATTCATTGGACAATTTCTGCAAATTCATTGGAGATGAAATCTTTGTTGATAAGAATACATCTGCAAATGTGAAGGAGTGTAACAAAATGTTAAGCAGTTTGATTAGAGTGGCTAAGAATCTCAAAAAGCAGTTCTCATTCCTGCCTGAAGAAAGGGACAAAGTAGACAGGTTGAAAAAAATAATGCAGCAAATACAAGAAATACCAGTTTTGAAAAATAAAATGGAGCATATAGTTAAACCAATGATAGAGCATCATAACAAATTCATCACAGTTTTTGATGCAACTGGCGACCAAGGTGGTTCCGTAGTAAAGGCCTTACTTGCTGGAGGGAAATTCAAGGTTCGAGGAGTCACTCGGTCACTAGAAAGCAAAAAGTTACTAGCTTCGCAAGGTGTAGATATGGTGCAGGCAAGTTTAGACGATACAGACTCCCTTCATAAAGCAATATCTGGTTCTTACGGAGTGTTTCTCGTCACCAACTTTTGGGAAGACATGGACGGCGCAAAAGAAACACGACAGGGTAAAAGTGCTGTAGATGTTTGTTTGCATGAAGGTGTCAAACATTTGATCTACAGCGGTTTGGAAAGCGCTAAGAAAAAGTATGGATTTGTAGTGGGTAAGCGATATTGCATACTGATTTTCTTTTCATCAAACTAATACGAATAGAAGCAATTTAGGCTCTTGTTATTGTCAAGAAATATTTATTCGAGCGTGTGTGAGTACTCAAGCTGTTCCACTGTCAAATTATGCATGATATTGATGATAATACCTCAGCCTCCACAAGTATTTTTTCCACAACAGTAATTTTTTTCCATTATTTAATGACCAGAAAATGGATAACTTCCCCACATTGAATTACAAATATTGTCGATCAGGCAATATTTGTTTTCGATCGTCATTAAAGTCTTTGAATCTTTCAAATTCAACATAATTAATTGCTTTGCAAATGTGGCAATAACAAAATGGAAGTCGGATAAAAGAGGTGTCGAATGGCAAAGAAAATAGTATACTCCCCCCCCCCTCCCTCACAGCGTCAGCACCAGCTGGCAAGAGGTGATAGCAATGAACTGAGTAAAACTTTGTTTTCAGACAAATAGTTCCACATTTAGACATGAAACAAATGTTGAATCTTTAATTTGTTCACTAAAATATAAGGGTTCCTCTGACGTGACAGCACGTTTATAAAAATTTTTCACTTGACACACATTGACTCTCCACAGATCATTTTGATTCAAAAGGAAAGGTTGAAGACTACTTAAAGGAAAAGGCTAAATCGATGATTTGGAACAGCATCCGCTTATCCGCTGACTTCAACAATTTTCTCAAAGACTGGAAGCCAAAGAAACAGGAAGATGGTACATATGAGCTGAGCATACCCATGGAAGGCAAGCCAATGTATGGAATAGACGTAAACGATTGTGGAGAATGTGTCGCAAGTAAGAATATACCAAGTGCATGTTAGTCTTTGGTCAAATGAAGTTCTTCCACTTTTCTTTAGCCAGAATTCATCAGGCAACTGTGTCAATAAACTCGTGTTTTTGTTTAATCAAGGCGTATTCAACCACCCAGAAACCTACGGCAAGAAAATTATTGGAATTGCTACGGACTACCTCACCGTCCAACAATATTGTGATGAATATAGCAAAGTATTCGCATCTCGTGTTTTTAAGGTAACTCAACCTTATTTATAGATGATTTTATGGGTATCGTCACTTGTTACTCGAGAATCTTGAGACAAAGCAAGAGAAGCTAGGATAAGATTGTTCAGACATATTACGGAAATGGATAAATAAATATATAGACAAAAATGTACTGAATTTTGAGCTGCCTTTGTAAGACGTCTAAATGAAAACCTAAGACAAATTATCGGAAGAATGCAATGAAAAAAGGAAATGGAATGGGAGGGAAGGGGGGGTGAAACAAAATACAGTAAATAGAAAGAGACGGGTGCAAATGATTTGCTGTGACGAAAGCTGAAAGAAAAATCGGAAAGAGAAGATAGAGGTTGGATTGAGAGAGATCGTTAATTATTTCTCCATAATCTTCAATTTTGATATCAACAGTTTCAAAATTGATGCTTTATCTTTAGAGGTCGAAATGTCCTTCAACTTAATCTTTTTTTATCTCAGGATGCAAAATCAAAGACCGACGAAGATCAGGACAATGGATTTCCTGGTGCAGAGGAAATGGCAGCCATGTTTAAGCTGTATCGGGAAGGAATCGAGCGTGATATAGAACTCACGAAAACTTTGAATCCCAAGGCAAAAACGTGGGAGCAATTTGTAGTGGAACATAAAGCAAACCTGGAAACATTATTATAAGAACTTTACTGAAAATTAGACTTTGAAAGTGTACGGCTCATTTCATTTTGAATAGATTTTTTTAATGCATTTTGTGTGAAACGTTGTTTAAGTAGAGCAGTTTGAGCATAGACCATTTCATTAGAAGATTATAGACATAGTCATTACTCATCGTAACTCAGGGGAACTCGCACTGCGAAACAATGGCAAAGTTTAATGTTTTTATTGAAACAACGACACATTACCAACTGGATAATCACCGCTTGAAAATAATCATTTAAAATTTTTTGTTCATGCAATAATGACGATGACTAGTTTGCTAAACATTTTCAGCGTCATTGTTTCAATTCGTATAAGGTTTCTTGATGTCAGCCTGCATCTCTTGTGCAAAGTTTTGTTCATGTTTGAGCAGTTAAGGTTTACGTTTTGTTCATGTTTGGTAATACAATGACGCAATTCCTGTGGTTTATGTTTAGGGTAGGGCTCTACACAAGCATTGGACACAAGAGTATCGATGTTGAGCAATATGTAGTGTATATCACTTCAGTGACTATTAAGATCAGCGGAGGTATAATCTTTTAACAATGGCGGTCGATGTTCTTTCCTCAGTTAAGAATTGGATATACATACTATGCACACCAACTAATATTTTTGCGGTTATATTTGGTTTGATTTATGTTGTGTATAGGTTTTGGTGGGACAAAATAAATAGGAAAGAGGACTTGAAAAGGGAAGATCAACGATTACGCGAACAAAAAATTCAAAAGGAAGAAGACAGGCAGCGAGCTGATGCAGAAAAGATCGCGGAAATTTATGAACAATTCTACAATGTGGAAAACAAGTTCCTTAGGTTGAAAAAAAGTCTTGAAATATTGCGTAAAAGGAAGATAGTTAATGATTTGACAGAATTTCATGTTTTGATATACATGTGTCGCAAAGAAAATTGGAAAAAATTTCATCGTGAATCTATTGACATCGGACGACTTATTTCCGACCCGCATTATCGAAAGGCTCTAGAATCACCAGATGACTCTAGGGATTACCTACTTTCAGATGTTAAAGAAATAATGAAGTTCATCTTAGACCTGCGAATTAAGTTATTTTCTATTAGGAAAAATCAAACATGCCTAGATGATATCAAGTTGGAATTTTCAGGCAAATTCATTGAAATGGGGGAATCCGTGTACCCATTTGTGCAAAAACATCAACAAGATGTTATTGAAAGAGCGCTAGAATATTTCGACATTGCTCAGACTGTCCCAGAGCATGAACACCTAAATGACGAGCATGAAAACCTTGATGAAAAGCCTGGCCTTCAAAACCAGTCACCATCTCTTTTCTCAAGGTACTGTAGAATACAACAGACAAGTAAAGATGAAACAAAGAGACCAGCCAATGACACAATTATTGAATTGCAACCTACCACAAGTGCATCAAGCCATTCACCCACTGCAATTCAACCATCAAATCTGATGATTTGGCCTGGCAATGCTGAAATAGAAAATGCAATCCCGTACCTTAAATGTTTTGCATACCCAAAATATGGAGAGGAGATGACACTGAAATTTGTTAACATTCATAGCGACATTTTGCATCTCATGCATCTAATTGAAGTGGGGGTGATAAAAGAAAATGATGGGCTGTTACATGAAATTGATAAGCTTTGGAAAGTTAACGGACATGAACCACCAGGTGGAGGATTGTTGCATTCAATAAGAATGATAATGTATAAGCTTTGTACCCACAAGATTAATCTAGATCATCATGATTTTTTTAATAGATGTGAAGGTTCAGTGGACGATTTCCGCAAATTCATTAGAAATATAATTAATGTTGATACGCCTAATTCTGAAAATGTGAGGCTTTGTAAGAATATGTTAGTACATGTGGGTAGCAGCATTGAGCTTCTCGAAAGGCGGTACTTATTCCTGCTTAAAGAAAGCGAAACTGTAGATGTGTTGAGAAATCTAATGGAGCAACTACAAAAACTAACATTTAAAGGTTATAGTTACACAAATGATAATAGACCAGCAGTAACACAATTATAGAATTAAGTAGTTGTAACTTTGCATGAAAAAAATGAGAATTACCTGCAACATGGATGTAGGAAGATTGATAAAATTTTTTTTTGGGGGGGGAGGGGGAGGCAGTTGTACTCATGCGTGTTACAGTGATTCGAAAACAATGGATTTCAAAGTAACTTAATATGACGTACAATGCATTTATACATGTTAATCCTCTCTCTTATTGCTCATCTCACGTCCATGATTTGCTGACTAAGCAACTGTTTGTGGTTTAAAGTAAAGAACAGGGGTGGGCAACATATGGCCCGCAGATCGGCCTCTGAAGGGATTTTGATTGGCCTGCCAACTGTATCCAACCATTGAATATTGATTATTATTCATGTAATAATCCAGCCCACCAATAACTTCATTTTCCTAAATCTGGCCCGCCAACTGGAGAAGTTGCCCACCCCTGGTATAGAATAAAAATTTCTTTGTTTTATTTTTGTTTTGTGTGTAAATTAATAGCAAATAAAGTTAAAGCAATCGCAATAATTAGCATCTCTTTTTTTATCAAGTTTGTCGAAATGAGAAACATTTGGAGATAAATGTTGCGCAAACTACCATGCATTAGTGTATGGCATTCCAATGATGAAATTATTTGAAATTTTGATTTGAAATAATGTTCTTTATAACAACGCTTTAGTAAGGTGCATACGTACACTTGGATGTAAAGTGCATGTACCAAATGATTACCTTCAGAAATATTTTTGACTGTTGGTGTGTGTGACTTAAGCTATATCATTCTTTGACAGTTTTAAAATGACTTCAGCAATATTTTTGATTGCAGGTGTGTGAATTCAGAATTTTCTTTGACAGCTGGTGTGTGACTTATTTTGGACTGCAGCTGTGGGACTTCCAACACCACTTTTGACTGTTGGTGCTTGATATAGGCATGCAATTAGTGATGTTTGTCTTCAAAATCATCCTTGACTGCTGGTGCGTGACTTATGCAATATCTTTCTGTACGGTTGTAGACCACAATCTCTTGTATGCTGTGACGACCATCTCTTTTTTGTACTAACAGGCATCTCCTTCATGTACTTACGTAAAAAATTCTCACCTTTTGCATGTACTCACAAACGCCTGGTGCATGTACTAAAGAACATCTCTTTTATGTAGTAATGACCAGCTCTTGTATGTACTGACCAACACCCTTCATCATGTTCAAAGTTCGAGGCGTAACTCGATTGACAGAAAATCAAAAATCCAAAGCTTTAACTTTACAGAGTGTCAAAATGGTGCAGACAATTCTTAAAGGCATAGAATTTTTATCATCGAGCACTCCCATTTCTTAACTAGACAGCGTTTGCACAAAGTTTAGAATTGCCATTTGAAAGATGAGGACTAATTTCACAAGAGTCGCCAGGCAATAATCAAAAGCTATTCGACGCTATGTAATACACAATTTAACGTAACGCCCGTACATTAAAATCCCCACTTCTCACTTTGAAAGTTTTGTGAGTGTTGTTTTTTACACATTTTTTTTCACGTTACAGAGCATTTCGACTCAAAGATACTGGTAGAAGACTATATGATGGACCGTATTTTAACCTCGCGAACACCACACCAAAGAAAATGAAAGATGGCACATATATAGTGGGTTTTCCTATGAAAGTTTAGCCAATATATGGAATGGATATCTAGAATATACTGTGCGTAAGAATTTGGTCACGGCAAGGGAAACGCCCTTTTAATTATGACTTTTGATACGAACCGGTAAGTTCTAAATAAAAAATTCTCACGAAGTTTTCTAAACAATTAAACATATTTACAATCACCATTCAAATACTTTTCGTGCAATTAATGCATTTTGATTTCGTTTTTTATCGACAATCAAGTTTGAAAACTTTAAGCACCAACCTCTTTATGGTAGATTACTTAGTTTTCTTTGCATTAAGGTGCCTTTAATGAGCCAAAAACCTACGAAAAGAAAATAATAGGGAGTTGTAGAAAATTATTTTACGATGCAACAGTTCTGTGATATATTTCGAATAACGTTCCGTGCGTCACGTTTTTCTAAGTTGAAAAATATTGGTGATGTAGTTCTTACCTCGTGTCAAACAACATCAAACAAAGGTCGTGTAGTCTTATACCACACACACCAAACTACCGTAGTTCCAGATAAATTCATGCAAAAGAAACCAAATCTTTGGCAAAGACAATTCTCCATGCATAAAATATCGTTTCACGTAATCTTTATCTTGTAGGATGCAAAGCAGACTGTCGATCAATACCAAAGCCCTGGATTTCATGGTGCGGACAAATTGGCCGCTATGCATCGGCTGTATCAAAATGGAATTGAACGTGACATAGAAGTTACATAAACTCCGAGACAGAATCTCTGGAAGAGCTCGTCGTTGAATAAAAAGTAGATTTGAAAGTTTTTTTGTAACCACTGCTACATGCTCATGCAACTCGTGCACACTTTCTTCTTTATATATTTTTCGGATGTGTTACTTAACTCTGCACCACTGCCAACACAACTTCAACCCTCTAAGCCTTCTTTCTGAAGTTATCTGTCTGAGTAAACCGTTGATGATAAAATAGAATATTCTAAGATTCTTCTCATGATTAGAATTTTATAGTAACACACCTTATTTGGCAAACTGTTTCATTTGATCTCACTATATAAGACTCATGACTAAATCTAAAATTTATCACGATTAACAAATTTTTATTTCCTCATACACTTCATTCAACTAAGCATCTTACAAATGAACAAGCGTTTTAACGACTAATTCATATTTGTTTGTAAATGATGATCGTCCAGGTTAAGAAAGTCCTGAGAAGGACTGTTTTTGATGTTGTTGACTGACGTTTCGACAACCTTAGCGGTAGTCATCTTCAGAGTCAAAGTCCTTCTCAGGACTTTATTAACCTGGACGATCATCATTTACAAACATATAACGATACTCCCGGGTTCAAGCCATTTACTTAATTCATATTTGAAGAAAACTTTGCCTAATAGCTTTTTCATACCTATTTCCAAAGTTCTAGCGTTTGTGGCAATTATGGACCACTGTTCATTGCTGAAACAGGTGACCATAAATGAGGAAGGAAATTTATCATAAAAAAGAGTGCACTACCAAAAGCTTGACAAAAAACCCCCCAAAAACACTACTAAAGTGACAAAAACAGTTTTCATAAAAACTGGCCAGTCAGAACTTTCTCGCGATGCACATTGTGCAGCATATTTAAACTTCCTCCCTGAATTATGGCTAATTTTAGACTAATTGCGCTTCTCCGGGATGAATTGCGTTCCTCAATGAAGTCATCGGAAGTGCTTGAGAATAATGCATTGACGTATGAGGATAGCCGCATGTACTGTACAGACAATTTTTGAATGAATTCTGGAACACCGGGAAGGCGAAAATCCTTTTGCACTCGAAAGATGCCTGGATTACTTCATAAAAGATGCGTAATAATATTTTTAACGAAAGCAAGAACAATGTGGAATTCGGATGAGACTATGAGCACACTCAGGTGCAAGAAAAACGTTTACAGTGTACAACAGAGATATATTAAGAGCAGGCCTTACAGGACCTGCCAATTTCAAGATAGTTCACAACGTTAACTGCTGCATCACAGCAAGTTTGCCTCACACATAATGCCAAATTACACAGATGGGCTTTTAAAGCGACGTATAGGATTAAAGTCTTGCATTAAAAATTCATAATATAGAAATGGAAATTAGTTTTGTTAATTATATGTAAATAATTTATTTGGAGGTTTTGTCTCTCAAAAAAGTCATTTTGACTCTGAAGATGACTACCGCTAAGGTTGTCGAAACGTCAGTCAACAACAACAAAAACAGTCCTTCTCAGGACTCTACCAACCTGGACGATCTAAATCTACAAACATGTAACGATACTTCAGGGTTCAAACCATTTACTTTATTATAAAAATTTTTCACTTGACACACATTGACTCTCCACAGAGCATTTTGATTCAAAAGGAAAGGTTGAAGACTACTTAATGGAAAAGGCTGGATCGATGATTTGGAACAGCATCCGCTTATCCGCTTACTTAAACAATTTTCTCACAAACTGGAAGCCAAAGAAACAGGAAGATGGTACATATGAGCTGAGAATACCCATGGAAGGCAAGCCAATGTATGGAATAGACGTAAACGATTGTGGAGAATGTGTCGCAAGTAAGAATATACCAAGTGCATACTAGTCTTTGGTCAAATGAAGTTCTTGAACTTTTCTTTAGTCAGCAATTCATCAGGCACCCTGTGTCAATAAACTCGTGTTTTTGTTTAATCAAGGCGTATTCAACCACCCAGAAACCTACGGCAAGAAAATTATTGGAATTGCTACGGACTACCTCACCGTCCAACAATATTGTGATGCCTATAGCAAAGTATTCGCACCTCGTATTTTTAAGGTAACTTAACCTTATTTATAGATGATTTTATGGGTATCGTCACTTGTTACTCGAGAATCTTGAGACAAAGCAAGAGAAGCTAGGATAAGATTGTTCAGACATATTACGGAAATGGATAAATAAATATATAGACAAAAATGTACTGAATTTTGAGCTGCGTTAGTAAGACGTCTAAATGAAAACCTAAGACAAATTATCGGAAGAATGCAATGAAAAAAGGAAATGGAATGGGAGGGGGGGGGGTGAAATAAAACACACTAAAAAGAAAGAGACGGGTGCAAATGATTTGCTGTGACGAAAGCTGAAAGAAAAATCGGAAAGAGAAGATAGAGGTTGGATTGAGAGAGATCGTTAATTATTTCTCCATAATCTTCAATTTTGATATCAACAGTTTCAATATCGATGCTTTATCTTTTGAGGTCGAAATGTCCTTCAACTTAATCTTTTTTTATCTCAGGATGCAAAAGCAAAGACCGACAAAGATCAGGACTATGGATTTCCTGGTGCAGAGGAAATGGCAGCCATGTTTAAGCTGTATCAGAAAGGAATCGAGCGTGATATAGAACTCACGAAAACTTTGAATCCCAAGGCAAAAACGTGGGAGCAATTTGTAGTTGAACATAAAGCATATCTGGAAACATTATTATAAGAATTTTACTGAAAATTAGAATTTGAAAGTGTACGGCTCATTTCATTCTGAATAGATTTTTTTCAATGCATTTTGTGTGAAACGTTGTTTAAGTAGAGCAGTTTGAGCATAGACCATTTCATTAGAAGATTATAGACATAGTCATTACTCATCGTAACTCAGGGGGAACTCGTACTGCGAAACAATAGCAAGGTTTATTGTTTTTATTGAAACAACGACACATTACCAACTGGATAATCACCGCTTGAAAATAATCATTTAAAATGTTTTGTTCATGCAATAATGACGATGACTAGTTTGCTAAACATTTTCATCCTCATTGTTTCAATTCGTGAAAGGTTTCTTGATGTCAGCCTGCATCTCTTGTGCAAAGTTTTGTTCATGTTTGAGCAAGTAAGGTTTAGGTTGCTCTATTCATGTTTGGTAATACAATGACGCAATTCCCGTAGTT